TTCTTTTATTGATTGTACTTAGAATCCTTCAGCAAATCAGATATATTCCTCAACTGTACTGAGTTTACCGTGGAGCTCATCAAAGGACTTCTGCATTGTGGGTATCATTTTTGGCATATATTTTTTTCTTACAGGATCTCCACTAGACTCTTTCTTATAATTTCTCTCTGCTAAAATTAGTCCCCATCTGTTCATGCTGTCCATCTTTCCTACTAGATACCTTTAACGTATTAATCACAATTATTTTAATGTTCCCATCTGGAAGGGTTATATCTGAGCCTGCTTCTATTGACTGCTTTATTTATTAGCAGTGTTTTTGCCTTGAATGGTGCACATTATCCGTGCGACAGAAGGCACAGCGGTATAGCGTGCACTCTGGGAAGTGGCCATGTGGCTTCTTGTTTCCAATCTATTGTGGGAAATTGGTGGATGCCGTCCGGAGGTGAGCTGGGCTTGGGCTTTGCAGTTGCTGTCCTTACCTTCGAGGCCCCACAGGTGCAGATTCCTGTAGTGGGGGCCAGCCCTGCTTGCAGCGGAGTAGGGGTGCAGAAGGTGCAGAAGGGTTTTTCTCCATGTTCGTACTCCACTCCCAGCTTTGTGCAACATGGAAGGTCTCTCTCTCTCCACACCTTTCCTTCTCCCCTATAGCAGTAGACTACGCTTGGGGTGGGGGTGGGAATGCTATTATCCTGCTCTGGCTTCAGTCTTAGGTACGTCTTGGGTGTGCGTTTTTTTCCTCCCCAGTGGTAGCTGATTTCTGCTTGCTACCAGTACAGGTTCATGGGCCTTGGATGGCTTCTTGCCACTCCCAGAGGGTTATCGGATTTTTTTCTTCTACCTTTCCCCTGGCCAGGGTGAGCTTTTACTGCTCCTTGGGGATGAAGGAAATACGGCCCTTCCGCTAGTGGATTCAGAATTTTGCTTCATAGGAGAACATCTGAGGAAGTGAGCAAGGATCCATTGCCCGAAGCTAAAGATCACCGCAGGTCTGCATCAGCGAGGCGGGTCTCGGGGGCCCTTTTCCTGAGCAGACAGTGAAGGCCTAGGGAAAAGACCTTGGAAGTGCCTGTGAACTTGCTTTGTGTGGAGGGCCCCTAGCCATTCCAGACAAACTAGTCCCTTCTTTGCCTTACCCACTCAGTAAAACTGTACCTGATTTCATCTTCCTCACTGGTTTTGTGGCTAAATCTTTCTACAGTGCCCTGCCACAGGCAAGATAGTTTGGCTGTCCTCTCTCCTTGGAACTCAGAGTACCTAGTTCCCTTTCTGATGAACTCAAGAAAAGTCATGTCTTTATAGTTTATTTGCCTTTTTGTTATTGAAGCAGGAATAATTTTGCAGTGTTCTATATCCTAAGAAAACGCAGAAACCCATACTATTAGTATGAGAGGGTCAAGGATGGTGTAAATTCTCTATATTGTAGGGGTGCCTGGCTGGCTCAGTTGGGAGAGCGTGTAACTCTTGATCTCGGGGCCGTGAGTTCGAGCCCCACGCTGAGTGTAGAGATTAAATAAATAAAACTTAAAATAAGTTCTCTATATTATATATTTACGTAACATTTGAATTTTTACAAGTGTATTTTGTTTTTTTACAAATAGAAGAGTCAGGATTCTTTGGAGAAACTGAACCAATAGCATGTGTGTGTGTGCGTGTGTGTGTGTGTGTGTGTGTGCATAGTATGTATGTGTAAAATGAGATTTGTTATAAGGAATTGGCCCACACAATGATGGGGGCTGAGGAGTCCCAAGATCTGTAGTTGGCAAGCTGGGGACCCAGATGAACTGTGGGTATAATTCTAGTGCAAGTCTGAAGGTCTGAAAGCCTGGAGCGCTGATGTGTAAGCTCCAGTCCCCAAGCCAGCAGACCTGGGCCCCAAGAAAAGCAGCTATTTCAGTAGGGAGGCAGAAGGCTCACGTTCCAGCACAGCAAGGCAGGAGGAGCATCTCTTCCTCAGCCTTTGGTTCTTTTTTGCTCTTCAACTGATTGGACAAGGCCCACCCACACCAGGGAGGGCAACCTGCTTTACTCAGACTACCAACTGGAGTGTTAATCTCCTCCGGAAACACTTTCACAGACACACCCGGAATAATGCCTGACCAACTATCTGGGCACCCCCATGGCCCAGTCAAGTTGAAACATAAAATTAACCATCACAATGGGGTAATAACAATAATAATAACACCATCATAATTCTGGACAGCTTCTTAAGGCCGAGACTGATCTGGGAGGCACAGTGGCACCGAGACTTTCTCTATGCATCCTGTTCCACTGGCCCGGGCCACCCAGCTGAGTTCCGGCTCCCAGATGCCACTCACTGAGAGATGCTCTCTAGTCTGGAGCCACCCAGGCCACACCCTCCTCCTAGTGACAAAGGAAGAGCTGACACCACCACAAAGGGAGCCTCCCCTCAGAGGCACCTCACCAAGCTGGGGTGCTGGGAAGCCGCTTGAGCCAGCACTAAGAGGAGCCGTAGCCCACAGAGCTTGGGCCGAACAGCCTACCCCCACCTCACCATCTAAGAGTTAAAGTGGAGGGCTCGCTCCAGATTCCCAGAGCTCCCGGGAACAAAAACTGTTTCTGGAAGTAACCAGCGACTCTCGTGGCCTAGTGGTTTGCTTTTGAACCTCGCCCACCTCAGCCTCTGCTCAGATTATCAAACAGTTAGAATTGCTTTTACCTTGTGATTCCTAGGTCTCACCCACAAGATCTGTATTCAGCAGGGGCTCAGCTGTGGCCCAGGACTCTGCACGCTTGGCCAGCACCCCGGCATTCCTAACAGCATTGCTTCAGGCCTCACCTGGCCCGGGAAACATTTACAGACATTCCTTTCCACGGAACGACATGCCGGAGTCCGGAGGTGTGTTTATCCTCCCATGTTCTCCCACGTGCTCCACGAGAAAAGCCAGGCACGGAGAGTCAACCTTGAATGACTCCGAGTCCCCCAACAGGCAGGATTCATCTACAGCGACAGGATTCAGGGGTGCCCTGGGAAGGTGCCCGGGGGCGACTTTCCAGAGAGACGGAAATGTTCTAGAACTCCATTTGGTGTGTGAATTTGCCAAGTCATCGAGCTACACGCTCAAAGCGTGTGAGTTTTGTTCTGCGTGAATTCCACCTCGGCGAAGTCCCTTTGGAAAGGTATCATGTGTTGTTGTCTCAGAAAAATGTCGTTTCAGATGTTTCAAGATTCGTGCCTCCCGGGCGTCAAGCAATTACATCTGAGAGCACGTGCATGAGTCACCGCTTCATTGGTGCATCAGGGGCCACGTGCCAGCAAGTCACTGTCTGCTTTGTATGTTACTTGGACTCCCGCTTTATACAGAAAGACCAGGCGCAGGCCCCTGAGCAAGGCGCGTGGGAGCGAACGGAGCGAGTGGCCCCATCTTCAGGAAACTGGTTTTAGGAAGTTCTGCCCCACATCAGACTCTGCTAGATGGACATGTACATGTACATGCGCACACACGTGTGTATACACACACACACACACACATACACACACACACACGCTCATTCCCTCACATCCTCCCCTCAGGAAAGGAAAGCCTCTGTGAACCAAACACAAGCCCCACAGCTCTTGACCTGAGACCCCTCAGAAATCACCATGGAGCCAGCAGGTCACCACTCAAGGGGCTGCCCCTCAAACTTGTCAACAGCACCCCTGCTTCCCTAGAATCCCCCAGAGGTCAAGAGAAGACTCCACAAGGACAGAAGTTGTGGCTTTGACCTCAGAAATCACGAGTTCTGAATGGGGGCATCTGAGGACCTATGGGCCTGGGCATTCTGAGAGGCCCCCAACATTGGCGAGTCCGAGTTTCAGCCCCTGCTCTGCCGGCTGATTCCCAGGGTCACCTAGGGAATCGTGACCCTGCTCAGGGCCTCAGTTCACCCACATATAAAATGTTGGACTAGCTTTTGGATCAATTATTATTATCATCACCATTATCATGAATACTGTTTGGCTCAAAAATCCATTCCTTGTTTTTTAATTTGTTTAATGTTTATTTTATTGTTTTTGAGAGAGAGAGGGAAAGGGAGACACAGAATCCAAAACAGGCTTCAGGCTCTGAGCTGTCAGCACAGAGCCCGACATGGGGCTCGAACTGGGGAATGGAAAGATCATGACCTGAGCCAAAGCCTGACATCCAACCAACAGAGCCACCCAGGTGCCCCAAGAGCCCATTCTTCAAATGAAACCCCTTGCAGAGCCCTGATAAGAAAAAAAGAAGGCATCTGCCTGAAAATGGGGTTCAGGGACCCACATCCCTTGTCTCCCCCTTGCTGAGGACCCCCACGGCTCTTGAGAATTATTTAGAAGCTGCTAGGCCAGCTAAGCTCCCAATACATGCAGCTGAACTTTGGAAACTGACACTATGGAAACCGTCCGTGACTCCAAAGGACCCAACTGCAGCCACTGTGACCTCAGAATGACAGGGAGCACACATCATCAGACTCCAGGAATCTCAATGTGAAATAACTGCATTCGTGCTGCGAATAAAATGTGACTCTTCTATTATTCAGACGGTGCCTGCTCTGGCTGTTTGAGTTCTTAATCTTTTTCTCCCAGCCCCCAGTCTGCCTTCCCTGAGACTTCAGAAACCCCTAGAATTCCACCTCTGAACGGCCAATCTAGGATGGTAAAGTCCACACCTAACTTCAGATCATCACAGATCCTTCCCTAAGACTTCGACACACGGAAAACGTCATCATTCTGGTCCCTCCAGAGAGTTTATTACAATGATGTGCCAGGCACCACGCTACGCACTTCACGCAGATCGCACCTGATTCTCCCCACCCCAGGCATCGCTGTTACAGCATGCGGCAGAGGAAAACAGACTCGGGGAGGAGTCTGGGGGTTAGGGCGACACCACTGCTCACAGAGAGCCCATGGGTGCAAAGACAGCTTGTCTGAGCCCATCTCATCTGTAAGGATGACAAGGGGACCCTCCGTGGCTGCTGGGGAGATAACAAACGCTGCTTCCTAAAACCACCAGACACCAATCTTTTATAGAAAATAGGATTTATTTTCACATTTAGAGTGAACACAAATAAATGCCCCAGAAGTGAATTATATACACCATCAGTAGATTTATTAAACAGAAAGATCAAAGCCCTCTAGGAAATACACGCCGACGGTCTTCCGGAGCACCGGGCACCGACGCGCCATCTCCACTGTCCCCGATTCACCAACTAGGCACAGCTCGCAGTGGGTTTGTCCTGGGTTTGGCTGCTTCTCCCCTCATGGACTCTCCTCAGAAACCGCGGCAGCGAACAACAGGATTCACAGTGGCCGGGACGAAAGGCCTTGGCCGAGGACCCTTCACGAAAGCCCCGATTACGTTCCAAAGGCCAAGCTCTGGGGTTGGGTGGCTTCCGCCACCGAGTGAGGTCATTCCACAGCAGAGAGGGCTGTCACAGCTTCACCTCCAGGTGATCTCGTTAATCGAGTTATCCCAGTTAGAAGAGGACATGAAACAGATACAGTGGCCCTTTGGCAGTGGCTGCCTTTCCCCCGTCGGTCAAGGAAAAGGCAGAAACCTGAAGCTAACCCTTCGCCACCCCTAATGTCCAAGGCACAGGTGAACGTGGGCTGGGGAGAGCACAGGTAAGGCTGGATGGCAGCACGTCCGTGATGGATGCCAGAAACGGGGTGCTGGGGGAGGGTGGGCCCCGTGGAGATCGGACATCCTCACAGCGATGTGGGACAAGGACAGACAAGTCCGCGGGAGCCCGCGGCGGGGCCCCCCAAGGGGGCCCACGCAGGCACGGCTGCGCCAGCCTCACGCCCTGCTCGCGGCAGCTTAGCTCAGCTGGCCGCAGTCTGTGATGACAATCTTCTTGGACGTCTTCCCACTCCTGGAACCGAAAGACTCTATTTTCTTCACGACATCCATGCCCTCTTTGACATGGCCAAACACCACATGCTTGCCGTCCAACCTGTGAGTTGAGCCAGGTAAGAACGAGAGGTAGTGAGGGGTCGACCAACACCATGGCCGCTTGGGCAGGGAGCTCAGTGTGGGGGACCCACACTGACAACCTGGGCCCACCCCTCAAAGCTCCAGTACTAAGCGTTGCCAGGCTCCTCGGAGGAGCTCTCCCTTCCAGGGCCTATGCTCTGCCTCACGGGCCCTGTGACCTCTGCCCGGGGCCACTTAACCTGCATCCCGGTCACCTTGCCTATGAAAAGTGAATTATTCTCATTCTGCACAGGGAGATAACAGGGTATCGAACTAGTCCCAAGAAATCAGAGGTCCGTGTGTGGTCACGAGTGGCAAGGTAAGAGCCAAGATAACAAGTGCAGTGAAAACGAGTCCCGAGAGGCTCTCGATCAGAGAGTTCCATGAATTCAAAAGGCAGCCTAGTCAGTGCCAGCAAGGCCAACACTGGCTATAGCCAAGGGCAGCAATGTAGGATCTATTAGGGGTTTCGCGGAGAGAGCAAAGGGCAGGCAGAGCCGCAGTGACCTGCCCAGCCCAGACTTCTGCGTCCCTTTCGGCCTGGGGGCTGGAGACAGCTTAGTATCCACCTACCACTCAGGTCTCCCTGAAGTCCCAGAAAATGGGCTTTACTAAGTCTTAGCTCTGGGCCAGCTATTGAGCCCTTAACCCTCCATGCCTCAGGGCTGGGACACAGGGGGCTTTGGGTAGAGGAACTTCTCAGGTGATGGTTAATCTCCCAGGGAAGACATCCCTGAAATCCACGGGCCTGTGGGCAAGAGGGGCTCCAGGGGCCGTTCCATGCTCAACGTGAAGCCCGGAAACAACAGGCTAAACTAAGCAAAGAGGCTTCTACCCCAGGCCATCTGGAGGCCTGGGAAGCTCTGCTGAATTTTCCCAAGCATATTTGGTAGAAGTTCTTTTGTGCGTGCATGCGTGCATGGCACATGGAGAAAATTCCAGCGGACAGCAACAATGCAAACCTGATAAAGACGCACTTCCAACAACAACCCAAATTCTCCCTTAGTCCTTCCATGAACTTTATCCCATATAGACTCACAGCCTGGGACAGGGTTACAGTCCCACCGTACACCACCTTCCCCTCAGAAGCACCCGACGCTTCCTCTGGCTGCAAGGCTGCCCCCCAGGGGCAGGGAACTCACCAGTCTGTCTTTATGGTGCAGATGAAGAACTGGGAGCCATTGGTGTTGGGGCCTGCATTCGCCATGGACAGGACGCCTGCAAAGATAAGCAGGGGTGAGGTGTGCTGCCCCAGGAGGCAGCTCAGCGGCCAAGTCACTCACAAGAGGGGACAGCTCGCACCGCTGCAAAGACGTTTAAGTCTGAAAATCCTGGAGCTTGAAGGGGAGAGGCAGGGCCCGGAGGACGACCAGCTCCCCAGGGCCTGTCCACCTAGGCTGCCACAGGGAGGCCTGGCGGAAGCTCCCATAGCGGAGCTGGAACAGGACTGTGCCCACTGTCCCTTGGGTCCTCAATGTGACACGATGCTGGGTTTTGCTTAAAGGCTTTTCCCCCAGTGTCTCAAAGAAAGGCCTGTTTTTTAAACTGTGAGCTCAGAATGAAAAAGCTCCAGGAAAACCCAGCACCCCGACCCAGAGCGCTGAGGTCGGGGAAGTGCGTTGCCGGACAGGGAGCAAGCAGGTGTTAGGCACAGTAGGCACGGCGGTGGTGGCATCAAAGCTCAGGGCTTCCGGGCTGGGGGACTGGCTACCCTGCTCACCTGGTCCCACGTGCTTCAGCGTGAAGTTCTCATCGGGAAAGCGGCTTCCGTAGATGGACTTTCCCCCGGTGCCATTGTGGTTGGTGAAGTCGCCCGCCTGCAAGCACAGGGCACCTTCTGAGCCACGGCCACCCAGGGCCGCCAGGGGGATACCGCTGCGGCGCTGGGACGGAGCCCCGAGCGCACCTCGCACCCACCCAGCCAGAAGCCCCTCAAGCACAAGGGGTCAAAAAACAAAACATCCGAGGATATAAGGACTAATAAAATAACAAGGAAAATAATCAAAAATAAAGCCTAAGTATTTTCTGCCATTACTACCGCGCCTTCCAAATGATTCACCTTTTAAAAAAAAAAATTTTTTTTAACGTTTTGTTTATTTCTAAGAGAGACAGAGAGAGAAACAGCGTGAGCAGGGGAGGGTCAGAGAGAGAGAGACACAGAATCTGAAACAGGCTCCAGGCTCTGAGCTGGCCGTCAGCACAGAGCCCGACGCGGGGCTTGAACCCACGAACCATGTCATCATGACCTGAGCCAGAGTTGGACACTTAACTGACTGAGCCACCCAGGCACCCCTTGATTCACCTTTTTTTTTTTTTTTTTAAATCTGGGCAAGGTTTTAAATGATTCTCGAAGGATCTCATGGCCACTCTGAGAAGATCCCTAGTGACCTACAATTTTCTACCCACAACTCTTGGAGGGTAGACAGGGAGGGGGCCAGCAGTCCCCACTCCCTAGTCTGATCTGCAGGGAGCGGCAGCAGCTGGCACATGGTGAGTTCCGCTCCCTGACCGGCATCTCCCCTTCACCTGACCCAGTGGTTCCCCATGTGCCAGAGACCCAGGACCCCGGGCGTGGTGCCCCCAACGCATGCCTCAGCGAGCCCTCCGGCCTTGGCAGCCCCGCCCCTGCCTGCTGCCCTTCAGAGGAAGGCACTAGCCCTGGGCCTCCACATCAGCTCCTGCTGCATCCCCAGCCGGCCACAGGCAGGGCTGCGAGGGCCTCTGCAGCAGAAAGCCACAGGCTTGGCCAGGCCTGTCCCACAGCCACGGCCTCCCCGCCCATCCCCGCAGTCACCACGTCAGCAGACCCAGAGCCGACCCACTGCTGCTCACCACAAGATGATGACAGCCCCACATCGGGGTGGAGGGAATGGGGGACAGAACTGTGGGCCGGAAGGACTTCCAAGAGGCCATGACACTCATGCGCCTGCCTCTGTCGTCCGCTGGCCTCAGGACACCAAGTCCCGTCTTAGCTGGGTCTGACCGAACAGAGGACAATTGCCGACATAGCTCGGGTCCTGACCCCTGGGGAGGTTCCTGCTGTCCACATCTGTCCCCAAACCTCTGGCATCGCCAATACTCATGTTTTTGGAAGCCAGGCAGCCCACATGATTAACACTCATCCAACCGAGAAAGTGGCCTTTCTCTAGAAAGAGAAGCTCCAAGTTCAGACCTGCACGTTCTCATCCCTGCCGTCTCTCTTCCTCCTCCTGTCCTATGCCAAGCGCTCAGGGCGACACCGTCAGAGGCTGAATATGCTGGTTCTCCAAAGCCTGAAGATCGACCCCCCCCCGCGCATCGGGGCCTCAGTGTCGGCTCCCCCCACCCCACAGGCTCCGCCAGCCGGGCCAGGGGAGGGCTGTGGCGGCCCAGACACGCTCTGCCGCCATCAGGGTGACAAGACAGGCCTGCAGAGTCACCCATCACTCCACACACCAGGCAGGTGCTCCCTTGTTAATCCTCATGACAGCCCCCCTATGAGGTGGCCCGTTACCACCCCCACGCACAGGAGAGGAACCGAGGCAGGGCCACAGTACCTGGCACATGAAGGACGGAATCACTCTGTGAAAGGTGGAGCCTTTGTAGCCAAAGCCCTTCTCCCCGGTACACAGGGCTCTGAAGTTCTCTGAGGGTTGGAGGGAGAGCAGGTCAAGAGCCAGGCCTCCCTCAACCCCAGGGTCACAGCTCATTCTAGCCAGCGCCTCTTCAACCCCCTCCCCACCCGCCCCAGACAGGAGCATGTGTGGAAAGACCCCAGGCCTGCCCCCGAGTCTGTTCTGGCTGTGTGACCCAGGGCAAGTCATCTCCTTCTCGAAGCTGTGTCTAAGCCCTGTGACAAGAACACAGGCTCCTGGCAGCGAGGCCCTGGGCCACGTAGCCACCACCCTGTCCCATCGGCCACCAGGAGGCAGGAAGTTGTCCCCGGGGAAACTGACATGCGCCTTCTACTGATTCTGAGGCTACAGTGGACAGGTGGGCAGGGCTAACACTGAGGCTCAGAGAGGGACAGGAAGCTGGCCCAGGATACGCAGCAGCTGAGCCTCATGTGGAACTCCCATCTGGTCAGGGGTCTCTGGGCCCCAACTTCTCTCGCCATCCCACCCCCCTGGGCCCCCCTCTCTTCCACCTACACCACACTCAGAAGGCCCCAAGCCTCATCTTACCTGCTGTCTTTGGGACGACATCTGCCTTCAGCTGTGGGGAGAGGAGGGACAAGAGAACACGGTCAGTCCAGAGGCAGGTGACGGGAGGAAACTCCTGACCACCCAACCCCCACAGTGGCCTGGGAGTCGGAGGGTGCACCATGGGCCACTCCATTCCTGTTGGTCCCAGCCCTCCGCAGGAGGCGGCCAAGGCAGCTATCATGTCTGCCAGATGCTTCCGGAACCCCAACTGGGAGGAAGGAGCCTCGATTTCCTAATCTATCAGAAGGGATGACGATGCCATCCTGGCCTACTTCCACGGGCAGAACTGGCAGAGCTACTACAGCTGGGCCCCAAGCACGAAGACTCAGGCCCCGAGAGGAGCCAGGCCCAGTCCCTTAGAGATGCAGGGGGGTGGGAGGGTGGGTAAGGGGAGGCTAGAGCCCCATCCAAGCCCACCTCTTGCCTCCCAGCTTCAAGGGCTACCCTGGCACCAAACCATTGAAATAAATGGGAGTAAGGAGGGTGCTCTCTATTTTCCAAAAAAGTAAACTGAGGCTTAACTAGGGCCTCTGGGTTCAAAATGGGGTCGGGCTTGAAGGCTACACCTGAGCTCCCGATGTTATCTACCCCGCTGTTTGTTTCTTTGTGAGTCAGGGGCAGGACAGGGGTGCTGCCCCCTGGAGGGGGGAGGGGGTGGAACTGGGGTGAAGGGCCCCCGGGCACACTGCCCCCGACTTGCAGGAAGTCCATCCTGGGTCAGCCTGGTGGCCCAAGGCCCGCCCCGCACGAGAGGGCGGGAGGGCGGCCAGAACCTCCCGGGCTCCCTCCCAGACGCTCGGCAGGGGGCGAGTCCCACCGAGGGGGCGGGGCGGCGGGCAAGCTCGGGGCGGGCGGCGTTAAGCAAGGGCAGCCACGTGAGCACCGGCCCGCAGCCGGGACCCCGGAGCCCCCCCGACACCCGCCTCTGAGCTCCGGACCTGGGTGCTGACCTCGCGAAGTCTCAGGACCTCTCCCCTACCCCGGGGCCAGCCAGCAGGGCCGGCCTCTCCTAGTCTACTACCTGACCTTGAGCTTTCACCTTCACACGTGCCCTCCCTTCTGCCTCCGAGGGGCGACCGGAAGAGACCAATCTGATGCGCCTTTCTAAGGATGCGGAAACTGAGGCCCAGAGCCCAGGTGTAGGGGGCAAGGTCACCCAGGAAGTCAGGTACAGCGCCGGGCCCGGGTCCAACGCTCTCCAGGACCATCCCGGACGCGCAGTCCGGCGCGACCCAGCCCTGTGCTCTCACCTCCAGCACCACGCGGCCGAGCGGCTGCCCGTCGGCGCCCACGTCCAGGTACACGAGCGGGTTCCGGGAGGAGGGGGACGGGTCGCCGGCGCCGCCGCCGCTGCTGCAGGCGCGGGCCGCGGGGAGGCGCAGCGGCGCGGAGCGCGGGAGAGGGAGCAGGCCGAGCAGGCGGGGGCCGCAGCGTAGCGCCAGCATCGCGGCCGCAGGTCGTGGCGGGAGAGCGTCGGTCCCGGCAGAGACTATAACGACGACGGTCACGCGCGCCTTGGGGGCCGAGTCAGCCCCAGCCGCGCGCCGCCGCCTTTATCGGCCGGGTCCGCCTCGCGGCCCCGCCCCCACCCGCCCCCTCCGGGCCTGTCCGCGGGCGACCCCTGCCGGCCGCAGCGGGCAGCGCAGCCAGTGAGCTGCTCTCAACGCGTCCCCCGCGATGCCAGGGACCTGAAGGACAGACGCGGCCTAGCAAAAGGGGGCCGGTTCCGTTCTGTAAGAGTCCCAACAGAGTGAAAAAAGAGAGACAGAAAATATGCTGAAACGTGGTTAACTCCAAAAGATGAGCACCCGTGTGTTTTTATTTGAAGATCACAAAAGGCTACATTCGAGCCCTCTGTTAGACGCCCCTCCACCTATAGGCCCTGCAGACAGGGAGACCAAGAGAGACGGTGGGTGAGAGACAAAGAAGGTGGAGATGAGAGGTGTATTAGAGCGAAGGATGGCAGGAGGACGCAGGCAGAGACACCTCCGGCGGCTGGTCTTAGCCTGGCCCTGTCTCCAGATGCTTCTATACACCAGATCCCCTTCCCACACGACTGGAACCCGGCGTGGGCCGGTGAGCTCTGGCCAGGTCCCAGCCCTCCACCAGGACTCGGTCTGACTACCCCCTCCCCACCCCATAGACTGACAGGTCTGGTTTCCAGCAACTAGAGCAGCTGGAAGCTGGCTCTGTGCCTCCCCCAGTCATGCCAAGGGCACAGCTGCAGAGAGCAGAATATGGGGGCCATTCCATAGGTAATGCAGGGATGAGTGAGTGAAAGGGCAAGACAGAAGAGAAGGGGAACTGAGAACTATGGTCTGGAGGATTGACCCCACATGTTGAGGGGGGCCTCTTAGGAGCCTGGTAGGTATGGGAGGCCCACGGTAAGTAAATGCTGGGGCCTTGGGGGAGCATCTCGGCTAACATCTGCCCTCTCCAAATGGAAAACAAGGACCCAGAGTAAGGAAGACACTGTCTGGGGCTATGAGCACCCTAGATCCTGCCTCGGTTTCCCCTCTGGAGAATAAGGATGTGATGGCAATCCTTACCCTGCTTGTGTCCAGGTCTGTTTCAAGAGTAAAATGATCGAGAGAGAGAGGAATGTGTCAGCTGTTAAGGACTGGGCCCTGAGCATCAGTGATAGATGGACTCTAGTCTTTGCTTCAGTTTCAGGGCTCAGACAGCAGTGGGTCTCAGCTGCAGGGGCTCAGAGGTCCAGGGAACACCTGAGGGGCTGGACGTTGGAGTCAGGTGGGCTTGAGCTGAGACCTGAATCTGCTCCTAGGAAGGCGTCAGGCAGCAAAATGCTGGCCCAAGTAAATTCATGAGGTTAGAGCAGACTGTCCTAGGCTCATTGAAATTTTGGCTTGGACCTTTTCTGAAAGTTCATAGTCCCCTTCTCTCCTGGCCCAGGAGGAGCCTGGTCATTCAGTGATGCTCCAGCTGCATCCGGGAGCCCAGAGGCTCCCAGGTTCCAGCTCAGGATGGGAGCCTCACTCTGTCCTGGGGAATGGCTCCTTTCTCACGATTCTTGTGCCCTGATGTAGAACAGGCCTGAGTGGGCAGCCAGCTTGCTGCCTGCCCCATCCGGGCCCTCAGCAGTCTCCCAGGTCCCCCTCCCACCCACCCCCCCACCCCGTATCAGTGCATCCTGTAGAATGCAAAGAGGAAATAGGAATCAGCCCACGCGTCAGTGCCAGGACCTCGGCTCACACAGCCCTTCGCCATGCCAGGTGGATTGGTGGTGCCCTGTTGTCCCTCAAGTCTGCCCCTGGAGGGCCTCTGTTTATCCCCCACCCCGGTGAGGCATGAGCAGCCGTCACCCAGGGGAGATGCCTTCATTCACTCCGCCACTTCAGTCCTCAGAGCCCTTCCCCAGCCCATAGTTTGTCCACACCCCCACTGTAGCCTGGGAAGCGGTTCCATTTCATAGATGGGGAAGGAAAGGCCCAAGAGACGGGAGAGTGAATTAATTGCCCGGGAGTGGAGTGTTGGGACTACGATGAATCTGTCTGACCCCAGGGCCAGAGCTTATTGCCTGGGCCAGACCCTTCTCACTGCCATCCAGGAGCTGGTAATGGGGTGGGGATGGTAAGAGGGACAGACCGCACAGTAAGAGGGAGGCTGAGGAGTTAGCCGGGAGGCTGTGCAGCTCAAGGGACAGGGTAGATGGTTTCTGCCCCAGGGGATTGGTCTGGAGACAACCACAGTGAAGGGGCAGAGACACAAAGATGCCGAAAGGAGATTCCAGGACGGGGATGAGCCAGAGCCAGGCCGGGTACCTTTAAAGAAAGACTACAACATGGACCATTGTGGGAAATAAGCTTAGGAATTCCCTGAACTTGCATGGATGGGTAAACAAGGCATAAAGAATTAGAAAGCCACAGGATGAACACACCCAAGTTTAGGTAAACAAGATTAGGTAAACGGTGCAGAGGCCCAGTATAGCACAAAGGTATAGGGGATAGGGAATCTCAGGATGAAAACATCCAAGATGAGATAAACCAGATTAGGTATTCAGGGTGGAAAGCCTCCCCAATTTAGTACAAGAGCAGAAAGCTGCTTTCACAGGAAGGAAGGACCAAATTAGGTAAATAGGTAAACAGGGCTATAGACAGCAGTGGGGCGAAGTTGCCCAGAGCAGTGCTAATTAGCAAAAAAAGGTGCCTTGTTGACCCTAAGGTAGCACTGCTCAGTCTTTCTTGTCCCCTAGGCCAGTTTAGGTAAACAGAGGTAGGGCCTCATGTTTGCTTTAAACAGTCTTCCACCCAGCACCAGAATCTTATTTTGCACTGACCCCAACCCCTAACCACATATCTCCAAAACCCCCTTTTCCCCGCACCCATGAGTTAAGGTTCATAGGCTCATTGTCTATCTGTGCATGTCCATCACCCTGTAAACCTTCTGATCCTAGTAAAAATGGAGCAAGGATCCTTACTTGGGGCTCTGGTCTCCTCCCAGACATTAGCCTCTCTCACATTTTAATCATGTGTCCCACTTTCCGGCTGGACAACAGAGAATTCCAGACCCAGAGTCTATGACAGACCATAAGCTGAAAAGCTGGGGTGGGGGTGGGGGGCAATCACAGAGGGTCCTGAAGGCCAGGCTGAGCTCTAACATAGTTGGATAGCACTGGGGAACCATTGATGGTGCTGTGTCCCCATCTCTAGCACCCCAGACTGAGAACCAGCCCCTTCCACTCATGTTACTCTACCCTCTTTGGAAAATCAGGTGTTGTCACTACCTCCTGCCCACGCCAGAGAAAAGTTCCACCTTCTCCACGGGCTCAGCTGTGAAGTCACCCTACTCGGACTACTGCCCTTGGTGGCATCAGGAGGAGGGACAGTGCCTGGGCTGAGGCATGAACTGAAACACGGCCAGCCCTCGAGGACTCCCAGCCCAGGTGACACTGGGCAAGTGTCAGCACTCACCTGGCTCTGAGGCTATTTATAGACTCTGTGTCATCCTCAGAAACAGCAGTTTCTCTCCACTCAGCCCAAGTCATTTCTCACCCAGAGTGTGAACGGTTTTTGTCACCTAGGGATCCTGAAGGAACCCTTTAGGCATCACAGAGCCAAAGAACAGCCAGGTCATGCTGACATTTGAGGTGGCAAATTCAGGTGCCTGCGGGAGTGGGGGCCAGGCAGTGAAATGTACACATAAAGCATTCTGGGCAGGCTCTAGGGAGTGAGGGGAGGCGGTGCTGTGTCCAAACACCCCACTTAAAGGGGCAGCTGCTGCCCGGGCCAGCCAATTGTGTATGTGAGACCATGAACCCAGTATAGCCAGATCTTCTCATTTTTCAATAAAAGCTGAAAAATTTAGGTTCTGTAGAAATCTCCCAATTAAATTTTTTTTTAACATTTATTTATTTTTGAGAGAGAGAGAGAGCAGGAGATGGGGCAGAGAGAGAGGGAGACACAGAACCCAAAGCAGCTCCAGGCTTCGAGCTGTCAACATAGAGCTGATGTGGGGCTCAAACTCATGAACCATGAGATCATGACCTGAGCCGAAGTCAGATGCTTAATCGACTGAATCACCCAGGCACCCCATGAAATCTCCCAATTTTTAAATGTTGGGACCTGCTTTTAAAATAAAGTTAAGCACTGAACGAGCCATAAACACACATCCACAACCTAGATGGGTCCTCTGGGCTAATAGTTTGTAAGCTGTGATCTCCACTATAGAGAGGAGAGAAGTGGAGCTCAGAGAGGGTCAGGGACTTACCCACAGTCACACAGCCTGGAAGTACTGGGACGGTGGACAGACCCCTCTCTTCACCGTTGCTAGGACCCTTCTGCAAAATCTACTCAGCACACATGTTTTCAGAGCACCCGTTCTGTGTCAGGCCTGAGCTTTGCCCTGGGGATTCAGGAAGAGGTCAGGGACAGGCAGTTACAGTGCCACGTGATGGTAAGTGCTACCGGGTAAGCCTCCCCAGGCAGCCCGTGTACATGGCAGGGGTGAATGGTGTGGCCTTTGTGAGGGATGACGTCACGGTGGTCCTGGAAACCTTTCCAGGAGGGGCTGGGAGGGACGTGGCTCTGCTGTGGGCCAGGGGTGGATTTTCATGAATGATTATTGCCAGGATCAATCTCTGGGACAATGTACCTTAGGTAGAAGGAAGCCTTGGACTTCATTTCTCTTGGTTCCATTTGAGGGGGCTGGGATCCCTGAGCGTATGTGTCACAGGCAGTTAGCTGACAGGGAGCCCGGAAGAGAGGTGCTTGGCTGAAAGCTCAGAAAGTGAGCAAGACCCTGCTCACAGGCCACTGAGCTGGCTGCACTCTGGGGCATTTCCCTGTGGTGTTCGCAGCCTTCACCAAGCAGTGTGAATGCATCAGCCTCTCTCTGCTGGCTTCGGGGAAGCACAGTGGATCTGCTCCCCAGCACTCTGTGAAGCAGAGCATGATGGGAAGCAGGGAAAGATGGGCAGGGGAGGTTTCCCTCAAGGCTCGGGGCGGGTGGTGGGCACAGTGACCAGAAAGAGGCTTACAAGGAAGGTCTGGGGAAACTTCCCTTCCGGAGTCCAGCTGGGCTTTAAATGTCACACATGTGGGTTCTGTGGGCCTCAGGGAGAGGCAGCCAGCCGACGGGGCTGGCTCACCACTACCACCACCCCCACCCTCCCGCCCCACCTCCCCAGCTGCTTGGCTCTTGCACAAGCCACCTGGCCATAGAACAGAATAGAAAGGAGTGGAATGGAAGAAGCACACCTGCTGAATGTATGGGCTGGCTGCCATGATGTGGGCGGCCCTGGAGGCTGAGGAAGTCTTCCTGAGAAGCTGCCCCCAGAGGGGAAAGTTTGGAAGGGTGGTGGAGGCAGGCCCTGGGGGACGGGGTCACTACCAGCCAGCTCCGGGGGCCCGAAAGTGTGGGCTTTGAGACCGCAGAACTCTGCTAGCAACCTGGCTTCCCCTTTCCTTCTTTCACCCCCCAGCTCTTCTCTGCACCCTTGCTGTGTACCCGACTGCTTCTCGAGGGATGCGAGATATGGTGGTTGTTAGGCAGGAAAGCAAACTTATGTTTTCATGGGGAAGAGGGAGAACAACCATAAAAAAAGAAGAAAAGGGGAACAAAGATGCTCTGAGGTAGGATATGCCCTGCACACGGGTGAAGCCAGGTGCTGTGCTCTGCAGGGCCGGGGGCGGGGAGGGGGGTGGGGAGAGCAGTGTTACTTCATGAGAGGGACCAGTGTGGCCTGACCAAGGAGGACACGTGTGGACCAAATCTCACCTAGCTGTGTGAGCTCAGGGAGTTTGCTTTTGGCATCTCTGAGCCTCCGTTTCCTCATCTGTAAAGAAGGAGTTAATAACGCCTATGTCACAGAATTGTCCATATTAAGAATGACGTGGTGAAGGGCTTTGACTATACTAGGGCCTCAGGGAATGAATGAATGAATGGATGAATGAATGAATGTACGCATGCATACCGTCTAGCTCAGGCCAGCTGAGGAGTCAGAGTCAAGGTAGAACGGGTGATTTTGAGGGAATGATATCGTAAGCGGTGGATATGTGCCCCAAGGTGTGCCCATAGCAGTTTTATGAGTGGGTTTTCACTACCGTCTGCCCAGGACTCCCCTCAATGATATCATAATGCCATGCTCACACCAACCGCGTACGGAAGCTTCCTTAAGTATATTCACAGCCACTGCGTCTTTTGATCCGCCAAACAGTGTATGAGGCTGGGCTGTTACCTCGCTCGTTAGGAGGGGAGGCTGGCACTCTGGGCAGCGAGATGGCAGGCAGCCCAAGGCTACACAGAGCAGCCAGCATTTGAGGCAAGGTCACTGGGCTTGGGCTCTTTCCACTATAAAAAAAAGTTATGATTTTCCCCCCATTTCTGCCTGTCCCCATGCCCACCCCCATGGAGGCAGTCACTAAGATGGCCCCCAGCGTCCCCTGGATAGTCGCAGCCTGCTCTAGTACCCTCGCTTTAGATGTGAGCTGGACTTAATGAGTCTTTCCCAGTAAACAGAACAGGCATCAGTGATGGGATGCTGCTTCCGGATTGGATTACAAAGAGACTATGATTTCTGCATTGGGTTCTCTCTCTCTCTCTCTCTCTCTCTCTCTCTCCCTCCTCACTGGCTGTCATGGTGTGACACTCAGGCAGCCTATGGAGGCCCCATGGTGAGGCACCAAGGCTGGCTGGCAGCTACATGAGGGAGTTGGACGTGAACCTTGTGCAGCCTGCCAACGGCCATGTGAGAGAGCTTGGAAGTGGATCGCGCAGATCAACTGGAGCCTTGAGGTGACTGCCGCCCCGGCTGATGGCCTGATTGCAACCCCTGAGACACTGAGTCGGAGGCACCCACCTGAACCCCACCTGGACACCTGACCCCAGAAACCGTGAGATAATACATCTGTGTTGTTTTAAGCCCCTCGGTAGCAGAGCCATTTGTCGTGCAGCAACAGATAACTAACACACACGCGTCCTGCCCCCAGCCAGGGCCCTTTAAAGGCCAGCTCTGATTCCGCAGCTCCACACACAGCCAGTCATTGATCCGCCGTCTCAGCAGGCCCGTGTCATCAGCTGCTCTTGGCAAAGACCTCTCAGGTGCGGTTGGAAAGAACTGGCTCTAAGAGACAGAGCTGCCCTGTCCTGGGGAAGACGTGCAGTGGGCTGGCTATTTTTATATCGGTTCCTCTGAAGGTGTACACATGCACGCTGCAAGAGAGAGGGAGCTGGGAGGAAGTCGTCAGGGAGAGGGCCCGAGCCTGGGTTTGGCCCCTGGGGAGGGACAGTACCTCACTTTGTGACTCCGTGCCGAGCTCTGCACAAAGCAACTCTGCTCTAAGGCATCACCCCGATCCTCAGGAGGACCCTGCACAGGGAAAATTATCCCCATCTTACAAATGAGGGAATGGGCGGCCAGAGAGGGTAAGTGATTTGTCCAAAGTCACACTGGTATGGAGGGGCGCCTGGGTGGTCCAGTCAGTTAAGCGTTCAACCTCACTTCAGGTCATGATCTCTCAGTTCAAGGGATCAAGCCCCGCGTTGGGCTCTGTACTGACTGCTCAGACCCTGGAGCCTGCTTCAGATTCTGTGTCTCCCTCTCTCTCTGCCCCTCCCCTGCCCATGCTCTGTTTCTCTCTCAAAAACAAACATGAAAAATAAATTTAATAAAAACAACAACAAAGTCACACTCGTGTGACTAGTGTGACTTCCCACTTGTGCTGGGCTGTGTGTCTTCCTCGGAGTTGATGGGCTCCGAGCAGCGGCTCTTAGATGGCTTATGCCAGGTATCATTCTCTCTAGGTGGCCTTTCTTCCAGCTGGCCTGGCCCCTTGCTCGGTGACTTAGATTCACGGTCCCGTCTAGTCCTTGTGATAACTCTGCAAAGGACAGGCTGCCCTTCCCCATGATGGATGATAGCTCTGAGGCCAAAGGGAGCCTGTGATTTGCCCAAGGCCACACAGATACCAAATGGCTGAGCTGGATTTGAACCTAGTTCCGGCTAACTGCAAAGCTTGCACTGTCCTCCCCATCCCCCACCCCCCCGCCCCTGCAACCGGCTGGGCCTTATTGTCCTAGAGAATCTACCATTGCCTTCCAGCCCTGCGGGATGAGGTGAGAATCATGCACTGGGCTTATGCACACAGTCCCTGCCTAGAGTCAATGGGCAAAGGAGCTGGCTGGTAGGACATGAGAGGTTCGCAAGCACAGCCCAGGTTGGCCTTTGTGCATGCCCTGTCCCCACCTTTGTTTACCACGTACTGATGGCATAGCTGTCCCAAGGAGAGGGCCCTGCTGTCAGGCTTCCTAGGAGTGGGACTCGAGCCTTTGCCAAGACGAAATTGCGGCTCGGGCCGACCTCGTCTGAACCCTGGGCTCTCTGCCGTGTGGTTGCAAGGAGGCGAATGCCTGCGTGTCTGCAGTCTCTTTTTCCTTATTTGGTCTTGCGTCTCCTGTTGACCTGTGTGATTTTCTTGCATCTATTGGCTTAACCGTCGATCTCTCCTTACTCACATGAATACTTCTCACTCTTTTATTAGAATAAATCCCCTGCGAACTGCCTGCCCTCTGATCGAGGTTGCCCATCGCTGACGACGAGGCTTTTGCCTTTTCTTCCAATTAAAATAAGAGCTACAGTCTTTGGTGCCTGATGACCGTATGAACTGCTACCATTTACTGCATACTTAATAAACTGCACACAGCCAGAATTTACGTTATTTCTAAATCCTCCTGCAGCCCTTGAGAACAGGTAGTAGCGTTAACTGCTCTTTATAAATGAGGTCTCTGGAGCTGACAGAGGTTATGTAAGCTGTCTGTGGTTACACGGGCCTTCCCTCGGGTTAACTAAGTGGCTGAGCTATATTTGGCCTGGCTCTGCCTAATCCCAGAACTCAGCTGCCCTCCCCTCTACTGTTGCCGAATTTTAGCACAAAAGGTCAGCAGGTGCAGGTCAGGTTGGGAGAGGTGTCAGTTTATATAACAAAGATGAGCAGAAGCTCTGGAAATTGATCGACTCGTAGGCTCTCTTCCTGAAAGAGCATGTCAGCGCCACAGGCCCTGGGACTGGGCTAGTCTGGACATGTCAGGGGATCGCGGTGGAGGCCCCAGGGATATGAGGATACGCCCGACAAATTCAGCAGAAGAGCCAGCCTGGAAGGGGGAGCAGGGGATGCTGGGAATCGAGGTTGTTCACCAGGGAAGAGAGGAGGGTGGGCGCGATGCCATTTCCTGGGAGATGAGGACTATCATGGGCGGGGAACGCAGTGGGACTCCCTAGGCCTGAAGCAATAGCAGCAGGAACCAGATCTGGGCTTATTTAGACAAGAAAGTTTTCTCCCAGTCAGCGATATCCTACAGGGGTACCTTGACATAGTAAATTCACCGTGGCTGGAGAGCTGCTACGGAGAAGATTCTTACTTGGGGTGGGTGATGGGCCCAGGTGACCCATGAGGGTCCTCCCAGTTCTGAGCTATGGTTTGGCTCTGCTAGGGGGAGGCAGCTTGGGGAAACAGAAAGAGCAGGGCACAGCCTCCAATTCATTTACCGACGTATTGGTGAGTGAGATACAACGCGAAACTGCAACAGCTGGAAGCAGACACGGGTATACACGATTACTAGGTCCAAAATGTGCAAAAGTTTGTGAAGCATAGGAGCCAGTGGAAGGAACGAAAGAAAAATATGAAACTCTTTGGTGGCCTCCACATTAAAAAAATTTTTTTTAATGTTTTATTTATTTTTGAGAGAGAGAGAGACAGCGTGAGCCGGGGAGGATCAGAGAGAGAGGGAGACACAGAATCTGAAGCAGGCTCCAGGCTCTGAGCTAGCTGTCAGCACAGAGGCCGATGCAGGGCTCGGACCCACGAACCGTGAGATCATGACCTGAGCCGAAGTCGGACGCTTAACCGACTGAGCCACCCGGGCGCCCCAGTGGCATCCACATTTTAAACATCTGCACCTTTTATCAAGTTTATTGTTAATTCTATTGCTTCGACAACAGAAGTCTGTCCTACAGTTCTGGGGGCCAGAAGAACCGAGCTGTCAGCAGGGTGGGTTCCTTCTGAGGGCCGCAAGGGTAGGGTCTGTTCTAGGCCAATCTCCTCAGCTTGTAGATGCCATCGTCACCCTGTGCCTTCACACCATCTTCCCCCCATGCCTGTTTGTGTCCAAAGTTCCCCTTTTTAAAAGGACACTAGTCATAATGGAGCCGGGTGCACCCTGATGACCTCATCTTAACTATAATGGCAACAACCTTATTTTCAAGTCGGGTCCCCCTCTGAGGTACTGGTGGTTAAGACTTCAACCTATGAATTTGAGAAGGACCCCATTCAACCCTTATTGCGGCTCCTTGGGCCTCAACATCTCACAGAGATTTTAGCGAACCCCCACTGTCTCCCCTCCTTTTGTACGGTCAGCCTCCTAAACCCCGTAAAACTCAGTCAGGAGCCTCCCAGGGGCAAGACTGGGGGGCCAGCTCTGTTTACTGAGGCCGGAACGAATTTGGATTTGTCTCCCCCCCCCCCCCCCAATGACAGACATTGGTTCCTGGACCGGGCTGGCTCCAGTCCTCACCCGGGAGACTCCTCAGCTCCCGCAAGCCTCTGGTGGGCCAGGCTACCAGCTCACCGGGCAGTCCCAGATGTGCCAAATCCCATTCAGACTCCAGGTGGGAGCCCACTTCCCAGACTTCAGTTCCATACCTGCAGACTACACTCTGCTTTCCACCTCGGGGCCGTTATGTGGCCACGTGGTAAGGCGCTTTGTCCGGCATGCTAAGCACTCAGTGAATGGTGGCCACTACTATTTCTGGTACTGTTATTGCCTAGCCATTTCCTCAGGGGGTAGGCACCACCTCACCTCTCTACCCCTAGTGTGTGCAGCACCTGTGGATCCCCGCTGGGGCAAACTGAAAACTTCTAGTCTGGAACTGCTCAGAGCACCCAGGACCCCATCAGGTGATGAGGGGCGCAGTGGGTGGGCTTGGAGACCTTGCATGCCTCTCCTACCTGAGGACCTGGGCTGTTATTAGAAGATCACAGAAGTTTTTTTTTTTTTTTTAAGTTTTATTTATTTGAGAGAGAGATGAGGGGGAGGGACAGAGAGAAGGGAGAGAGAGAGAGAGAATCCCAAGCAGGCTTTGTGCTGTCAGCACAGAGCCTGATGAGGGGCTCGAACTCACCAACTGTGAGATCATGACCTGAGCCGAAACCAAGAGTCAGTCGCTTAACCAACTGAGCCACCGAGGTGCCCGGATCACAGAGGGTTTTTGACCTCTGTTGGCGCCTGTTCTGGAGAAACACCCACACAGCCTGGAATGTCCTGGGCTGTGATTGCATCAACTGGAGAAGCTTCCTGGGGTGCTGCCCTTGAAAGTTAAAGGTTTCCAGGCTGCGACGCTGTGGGCAGGCTCTGAGACGGTGATGAAATTATTGCCAAACACCTCTGTGTGCTCACCTCTGCTCACCACTCAGCTCACTCACTGCCCTCCTCACCCCACCCATACTCATCTCCCCGACAGCTCCTGGCTCCAGTGGCTGCTCCTCAGGCCATCACTGTAGCCACTGACCAGTGCCCTTCAACACAGCCTCGTCAGAGGTGCTCTCTCCGGCACCAGGCTGTCCTTGGGTGTTTCCTGGGATCCCACTGTCCCCTCTGATCGCTCCTTCTTGTCAACCTTCCCGGTCCTGCCTCCACCTGCCTGGACCTTTTGAGTGGACTTCCCAGGGCTTTATCTTTTGCCCTCTCTCTTCTCTGTCTGCCTCTCACCCAATCCCAGGACCGCTCTAGGCTTGGAAGGGGCAGTCTGGGAGGGGCCTTGGCATGGGGCTGAACGTCTCTGGATGGGCAGCTTTGTGAGAGTCTAAACTGTTGGCTGGCACCTGAGAAGTCCCGCAGAGGAGGAGGTCCTGACTGACCTGTGCTAGGGTCTTGGAGAAGACTTGATTGGAGCCTCCACTGGCAAATGAAGGTCTTCCATAACAGAGTTTCTGACAGCAGGATGTGGGCCTGGGACAGGACCAGATTCTGGGGAGAGGGAGGCAGGTTCCCACCAGAATAGCCCAAATAGTCCAGCCAAGTTCAAACACAGAAGCCTGGGGGACAACCCATGGTCCAAATGTGACCTGGCAAGGTCAGGTGGGGCTGGGTTCCAGGCTGCCCTGGCCCTGGGTCACTCTCTCTCTCTCTTCTTTTCTGTACTCATGCATTCACTTCTTCACTGAGCAGCTATTATTAAGAATCAATCACACAACACAGATGCTAAGCTCTCTGGTCAGGCTCATTATCACCTGAGCTTCTCAAGTGCACCCATTAGAAACAGGACTTAGGGGCACCTGGGTCGGTTAAGAAGCCACCTCTTGGTTTCGGCTCTGGTCATGGTCTCCTGGTTTGTGAGTTCGAGCCCTGCATTGGGATCTGAACTGATGCGCACAGCTGCTGGGATTCTCTCTTTCCCTGCACCTCCCCTGCTTGTGTTCTCTCTTCCTCTCAAAATAAATAAAAAGAAACAGGACTCATCCTGGAGTCTGAGGGAGCTGAGTTGCCAGTGATTCCTTGATGTGGTAGCTTTAAAATATGTCTTCGAATCTCACTCCTATTGCTGACATCAAGGGGTGGAGTCTTCTTCCTCTTCACTTGAGGATGGACCGGCCTGGGTGACTCACTTCTGCCAGAATGTGACACAAGTAAGGCTGCATATGTCTTGCTATGCGTGGCCAAAAGGCAACATGGCTTCCACCTGACTCTCGCTGCCGTGCCGTGAGGAAGCCCAGGCCGCACAGAGAGGCCACCTGAAGGCATTACAGCTGACAGTCCATGCTGAGGTCCCAACTGCCACACACAGGCATGAGGGGGACCCCTGCAAGCACCCCAGCCCCAGCCCCGCTCTGACTGCAATCACTTGGGAGCCCAGAGTGAGAACCACCCAGCTGAGTACAGTCAGCCTGTCATAGCCATGAGAGTTGATAATAATGAATGATGGCTATTGTTTCACGCCACTAGCCTTGGGGTGCTTTGTTATGCAGCTGGAGTTAGCCAGAACGCCTGGTGGGGAGTTGTGATGGACACCGGGCCGGCTGGCAGGGGTCCTACTTAGGCACCTAACCTCGTGGATCTACGGAACCTTCAGACGACATGGCCAAGTGAGGACTCATTATGTCTCTGCCCTGGCCACCCCTTCTCCTAGATGTCAGATAACAGCGCTGCCATCTGCCCGGGGCCCCCCAGCTGCAAACTGGGTGTCGCCTTTGATACCTCCCTCTACCTGACCCATTCCATGCCACCCGTCTATTCATTTAGCAAACCTTAGTGGAGCAGCCACTTGGCGTCAAGATTCATGCATGTGCTAGAGTACAAGACCAACCAGGTCCCTGCTCTCTGGAAGCTTACAGGAAAGCAAATTATTCATTGCAAGTGGAGCAAACACTAATAGCTTAATACCTGTGTGCCTTCATTAGTCTAAGCACAGTGCCAAGTCCTTCCTGTTCTTTCAATCACTGAAGCCCCTAAATGAGAAAGTAGCTCCAGAGATCATGAACTTCATTTTTCAGAGGAGGAGACCGGGGTCCCGAGAGGCTGAGTGGGGTCCCAGAAGTGATGGCAATAATAAGTGGGAGCACAGAGCTGGAGTTTCCTTCCAGCCCACCCCTCCTCCCCCTCTGCTGCTGCTGTTGCCGAGGTCCTACAGGCTCTCTGGAAGCAGAAGCCGAGA